TTAATAATACGGCCTACGTCGCCACAATTCTAACATCTAGGCTCGCGTGTCTTCGGCATCACGTTAAGAACCACTTTTCGTACCATTTCCTTCAAACGTTTATATTTTGTTCGTCGTCTTCTTTAATAGTTTTTACTCAACGCCTCCGAAGTTTGACTAGCTGGTTTGTGTAAGGTAATAGGTTTCATCCAAAACTTTCTGTCTTGCTAGTAGTCAAGCTTTCTGTTATTCACTATCTCTCAACCCATTGACGAAGGCATCTAGAGCAATTTCTTCCAAAATATTTTCCGGTGCCCCCCGGATAAGCCAACCGTTCTATACAAGCAACATCTGCTTCGAATTCTCGCAAATTCTACCTTGCTCGTTGGATTCTACTTCTTAATTGTGATTTGTAGCCTTGGTAGACTTGTCGTAGATGGGCATCTCCATAGCGTTTTTCTAGTCGAATGAACAAGGTCTGGTAGCATTGTTCTTGACCCTTAGGAATCGATCTTAGTATATCCGCAGCATCACCCTGTAAATCAGCAATCAAGGAAACAGCATTTTCTTGTTTGGTCCAATGATTGGCTGTTGCAATAGCTTCAAATTGTCTAAGGTACATCGACCAAGAAGGCTTCAGTGATTCTTCTTTCACTTTATGATCTAAAATACTGCATTAATTGGTGATAGCACTTTCGTATCGGTTAACACGCTCTCTAATTCTTTGATCTTCTATTCTATATCATCTACATTTCTCTGTATATTATCGAATGTTTTAGAAACTTTTTCGAATTTGTCATTGTTCTGTCCACGTACTCCTCTAATTCTTTGAGAAGTCTCGCCAAATCTTTTAGAGATATTTTCAATATTTTCGTCGTTTTATCTAGCTGCTTCTTTAATAATTTGAAAAATTTCATCGATTCTTTCCTCATGCTTTCTAGAAGTTTCTTTAATTTTCGTTAAAACTGTTTATTTTGCTGACTAAAAATGGAATGTCTTTAGGTCAGCTCAATTCTTATCGAGAAAATACCTCAGTGGTTTTGGAGGGATCTTCTTGGACCCGCCGTAGTCTTCATCCTGTTCTTCTAGTTGTTGACTAACTTTTTTACTGACAGTTCTACGACGAGAATTGTCTCTGGTCAGATTTACACGTACTTTCTCTGACACGTTTTTCCTACAAAAATCATTACCGAACTACACAGATGTTTCCGACAAACTATACTTTACAAAAGTTCAAAATTTTTTTTCAAAAGTCACTGTTAAATTCATCTTTAAATTAATAAATTATCCAACAGCCGTGACACTACTGCAATGTTTTTAATAAAACGAGCGGTTCTAATTTATACGAAATACCTATTTATTACGTATAGTAACACGATTTTATCTTTAACTAAACCAAAGTACTAAGAACGCTCCTTGAATTTACAAAAATACTTATTCCAGAATAATTTCAGTTAGTCCATCTGTATTCGTTACTACGCCGTATGTTCTAGAATTTCATGGCACCAGTTCCCCAGGTGGAAAATTTTAGCTCCCAGTTTGGAATTTTAGTTCTTAAGGTGAATATGATGGGTAAACACTTATTAAGTAAGGATACACAAAACTTGCTTTATATTGCGTCTATTAAAATAACAAAAATCAGACTTATTTGTTTTCCTGATTCAAAAAGAGAAATCATACGATTTCTACCTGCCGAAATCGAATTCAAATTTTTTACCACTGTGCTTTCTAAAACTGATAAATAAATAAAAAAGCATTCTTAGTATTGCATTCCACATGCCGTTCGTCATGGTCAAAATTCGTGGCGAATTCAATTTCTGGTACTCCAAACGGAGTAAAGAAATAAAACATAATGACAGCACTAGACTTTTGTTTCGATACAGAGCAGCGGCAAGCCGCTTATATGTATTTCGACCTCTTTAGGTCTCTTCAGAGTGGTATAGCCTCTACTCTGAATCAAAACAAAATCTATTCCCGTCGTATAATTTCACGAGAGAGGTTGGAAGTCTATTATAAGGTGCTTTACTTTTTTATTGACTATGAATCCCGTTCCTAATTTGTGTTTCGTTGGATGGAAATTATAATATATCATATAATTCTTTTTCTCTAATATTTTATTTCCCAACCATGTCATTTCTCGAAGGGCAATTATATCGCTCTTATATACAGTCTGTCCCAAACCCCTCTTTCAGTGCGTCACGAATTTCGACGTCATATAGGATTTTAAGAATGTCGAGAATTATTGCATGACATTTTAGTTAAATCTGACGGTTGCAGGATTCTAATCGGCTAAATGTGAAAAGGTTATTTTTTTTTAAATGTGGAGTAAAAACTTCAACAATTCAAATTATTATTTAATTTACATAATGTCCCGTCCTGTACAAAAATTTGTCATATTTCCAGTATGTCATAATTCCTATTCTATACATTCCAAGAAAAGTGCTTAATTAGCTAAGATTTGTTTATGGATTTATTATTCTTTATTACAAACACTATGGAATTGGAATGTTTGTTTATTTAAAATAACGCTTCCTCCTAGAATCTTTTAAGAGTTGACTGCGAGATAAAAAAATTTACTGGCAACTGCAAGACATCAAAGCAAACATTCCTGTAATAAAATAACATCGATTGAAATCAGTCATATTTGGCTAAGTAATAATTTTCCGATAAGTTTCTGTGGCAGCCAATAGTTTAATTTAGTGAAGATTTATCATTAAATAGTGGAAATAGTTTAAATAGTGACGCAGTTGATTTTTGAGTTATTTTACCAGATTTGGTGTGCAAATGAAAGAATATTATGAAGTTTAGTTAAAAAACAATGTAAATAGTTTAAATAGTGAAGCAGTTGATATTTGAGTCAATCTACCAATTCTGGTATGTAGATGAAATAGTGGTAATCGAGTTTAGTTAAAAAACATGATAACGAATGTAAGTTTACCATCTTTTTTATGAATAACAAAAATGAATATTATATTTCAAACAATCCACAATCCAATTCAGAATTGAATTTATTAAAATCAATGATTACAGTAGATATGTGGCTGGTATCAATTATATCATACATTTCAAGAAAATGTCGTGGTTCTTAAAACAACCGTTTTAATACATATAAATATCCATAACGGTATTATTTTAAAATATTTCCTCAATATCATTCCTGAATTCACAATTTGATTCGCGAACGACAGAAACTGGTAATAAAGTTGTCCCAACCTCTTTCTCTAATTGAAAATAATTTAATAATTTTAATATTAGTCTTTGTTCATTCTCGGTATATCTAGGAATATTTAAAATATTTTTATGACGGTAAATACAAAATGTCTGAGGTAAAATGCCTGAAAATACTTACCTGGAATGACAATTATCATTTTATCAGTTGGCATTGTGAAAGTACTGCCACTATCACGACAGAGACCATCTGCGTCAAATTATATTTACCTGCATCATTGATTGGATATCTATTTAACGTATTCTAAACTCCCAATTATACAACCGTAAGAAAAATTCGCTTTAATATGCGAATACCCGTAAACGATACCTAATTTTCTAAGTTCTATGTATAATAATAACAGACTCACGTTTTTTTCTGTCACTTCTAGTTTAATGCGTTAGAGAGAGTTCGAACAACTATGACGCACTGAAAGAAGGGTTTGGGACGGACTATACTTCTACACTGTTAATGAGAGACTGCAAGGCTCCTGACCTGTATAGAGATCTTACATTCCACGAGAATAATCCTAAATCATTGTCTTTTTTCGCGCCGAATCGTCATCTAGATTTCAGTCCGGGCTTAATCTTGAATTCTCGTAACATGCTGTTTTTACCCTACCCCCAAGCTCCAACCTAGAGGACCAGTTCACCCGCTCTCGCCAGTTTCCGACCCTGGTTGGATACCGGATCTCCAGTTGGGTTGCTCGGTTTAACAGGGGGCACCAGCGTGAAGGTGAGAGTCGGATTTAAGTAGAAACAGTGGAGTAAACTAGAAGCAACCTGTTTTCACATTCTACCCCCTTACGAGCTGAATATTTAAAATACGTAAATCTGGACCTTTCCAATTTTTTTCACCATAAAAGAGTAGTTTTAATCCCCCAGTAGTAAAAAGTACACATCGAGACAATCTACTTTTTGAAGTAGACGGTCAGATGAGCTAGTATACTAATTTTCAGGAAAATCTATGGAGGTATAAATGGGCTAGATATTAACTTTGAAAAGATAGTCTCCACCTTTGAAAAAAGACGAATAACTTAAAAAGTATAATGAGCTATGGTAGCTTACACAAATTTTGTCTAGAATTTTACACAAAATCTAAAAATATAATAATATATAGGATATTCTATTTAAAATAACAAACCAGTAGTTCACTTCCCATATAATCGGAAATATATTCCTATACTTATATAGATAGTGTAAGCTCGTCGTGAAATACCCTGTATACTATAGACACGCGTTATGGCAACAAATAATCATTATTTAATATTGGGAATTAACCATAATGTAAGTTTAAAATACTTTTATTGACATTTCGATTTTTACTGCGAATTTTGAGAATTTTGACAACGATTTTCGAAGAGGAAATCGAAACGTCAAAATAAAAGTAATTTAAACCAAAATTGGGGTTAATTCTCAATAAAATAGTCAATAATAGTAAAATGCTACAAGAAAATAGCTTCAGAACAATATTAAAAAAATAATCAATTCTGCTAATTTTATAATACAATCAATCAACCATATTTTTTCATTCCTTTGATTGTATCAACTAATAGTAAATATAGTAAATTTTAATAAAACTGGCAGTACTTTACTTTATTGATTAAATAAATCTAATGATTGATTTAAAAACTCGATTAAAAACTGAACTAAGTAAAAGAATAATTTCCAAATGAATAATGCATTTTAACGAGTATCATGTGTGTATCATGATTCACCAGTGACTTAATTTCGTAAAAGTGTAGCGGAATTAAAAAAAACTATATTTAAATACCTATTTTACCCATCAAAATATTTTTCAGTGTTTAATAGAAATGCCTGCTGAAGCTTCAAAAATATTTCGAGAACCAGAAAATTGCGACTTCTGCAAAAACATCACTCATGTCACAAAAGTTTCCAGAATATCTCCAGATTACTTTTACGAAATGTATAACAGACCTGCTAGGCCAGTTGTTGTAATTGATGCCGTTGAAGATTGGCCTGCATCAAAAACTTTCAATTTCCAGTTTTTTAAAAGTCTATATGAAAATATTCGGCCTGATGAAGGCATTAAAAGAAACTGCCAGTTCTTTCCTTATAAGACGGAGTTTAAAAGTTTATCGGAAGTGTTTAAAATGTCCAACAGTAGAGCCAATATGGTACCAGGAGAGAAACCTTGGTATGTGGGGTGGAATAACTGCAACGATAACGCTGGGAAAATTTTGAGAGAGTACTATTCCAAGCCGTATTTTCTTGGGAACCATTCTGAGAATATAGCAATGAGCTGGATTTTTATGGGAGGATCGGGATACGGAGCGCAGATGCATGTAAGTTGGCAATATTTTATTATACTGAATAGTTTTACATTTTCCTAATGTACATACGGAGTGCGCAAAATCTGTAGCTTTCTTTAATTACTTCTAAATTATGGATTGTTTAAAAAAGTTTATAACAAAACTGATGTATATCAAACACATATATAATTTAGTTACTTTACCGAGTTGTGTTTTTTAATTTAACACTCATTATATTAAAGTATTTTTTAATCTATTTTTAAAAATATGACCCTTTATATCCCTTTTAGCACGGCAACAAAAAATGTTCAACATATATTTAAAAACGTTGTACTCTATGTTCTTATGTCTTAAATAGCGCAGGAAAAATAATAAAATAATTCTTTATACAGGGTGTTTAGAAATAAGATACCCACACAATTGTGTAGATTGGTCTTTATTTTCCTAAAACTGTATAAAATATTAATACATTAGAACACATATTATTTGGTATGAAATTTCCTTTAACAGTTTTGGTCTTTGGTGAGACAAGGGTAAACATCACATTTAAGACATCTAACACGGGTTCTGCTTTTACAACCCGACCTTCTGCATAATCTTGCTGTAGTTAAGTGGTCAATATTTGGCCAATGTTCGTAACCATCTAACCTCTTATCTTTAGCTGGTTGTGGAGCTCGATAATTTTGTGACCTGATTTGTGTTTCGTCTTGTGTTTCTTCTTCCTCAACCTGCTCTTCCACTTCTTCATTTGATCTTTTTCTTTTAGGTGACGCTAATAAACTTTCACCGACTTCCATTCTAAATGTAAGAAGATCTCGTATTTTAGATTTTGGAATAATATTTGACCGGTAATCTTCGCGGTATTCCATCCAAGCATTTACTACGGCTAAATATAAAAAATGAAGTATGACTTTTAATGTTCACTTTCTGGTTTTTATCAAGGTTATATAATATTCAAGTTGCTGGTCGCAGATGTCTACTGCACCCATATTAGTATTGTAAGTCAGGGCATTTGACGTCTACGTATCGTTTTTCTGTCTTACACCACCTTATGACACTTTGTTCAGGTTCAGTCCCTGACGTATTTGGCAACATAGTAACGAATTTTGTATCCTTCCATTTAACAGGAACCATGTTTTGTTCACTGCAATAAAACTGTTCACTGTCTTCTCTTCAAAATTTCTTATCTGGTGAGAAATTCAATTTGGAAATTCGGTTGTTCATGACAGTACCAGTTCCATAAAACTTTAATTCATTTAGACGAAAAATTAGATTACAGGTTGTAAAATATTTATCAAAATGTAAAAAACGTCCCTGAGGCAAAGATGAACACAGTCTTAAAACAACTTCTGGTCCAAGTCCATACTTTATATCTGACAGAGGAGTCAATCGTCCTTGATATATTTCAAAATCTAAGACTGTTCCAGTGGATGAAGCAACAACGAAATTTTTCAAGCCTGTGGGCCTTTGTTTTTCCTTTACATATTGACATAAATGACAACGGCCTGTAAAGAAAATCATTTGCTCGTCAATACTGTAGTTATTAACTGATCTTTCAATTTTAAGACATGCATTTCTCACACATTCGATAACGGATTGAACTTTCCATAACTTATTTTTAGTGTGATCATCTGGTGGCTTCTCTGTATTAACAAAGTGAAGACACGTTCTAAGTAAAGAAAAACGATTCCTCAGCAACACTCTGTAATCTTAATCCCATTTTCCAGTACCAGTGCAAACGTGGATAAGTTCTACATCTAAAAACAAGATGGGCAACATAGAGTTTCATTATTTCAGATGGTGTTGTATTAAGTTCTGTCCCTTTCTTAGACAAACAATACATATTCGTATACGTATGCCTGCTGGAAATGTCTGTCTGGAAAATACTTCTTAAAATAGTGCATTGGACTCTGAACAATTACATCTGTTCGATTACCTAAAAAATCTTTTTTATCTGGTTTATTCTCGATGCCCTGAAATGAACGTTTGCTCCACCGAAATGAAGACTTTTCCATTTTAGAACTACGGTTTCCAGTGGTTTGTGGTTGATCAAATATGGGAGCTGCAGTTACACCGGAAGGACCAGGAACCTCAACGTCATTTTGTGAACACGATTTTTGTTGTGAATTAGGGAATTGTCACGAGTATCTTCTCCTTCTTGGTCAGAATATGAGGATTCGCTGCCTCCGAGGCTTTTGCGAAGGCTATTTGGCTCAATACCCCACACCGGGTCAGAATCTGAGTCATTACTAAAGCCTTCTAGTTCTGAATCTTTATAAATAATGTTCATTGCCTACTCGATATCTTCTGGTTTGTTAAAGTCAAAATCTGCAAAAAGAGAGAAGGACAATACTGATAACCCAACTCACACAATTGTGTTGATAGTAATGTAATTGGATATTTTGAAATTAATAATATCATTTTTTTAAATGTGTATGCGTAGGTGCTTTCTATATAGATGTATTAGTAATCTACATGCATTTACATTTTGTTATTGACATCTTTTAATAACAAAAATCTACTTACATTTCTTACGGAATTCACGACCCGCCATTGTTGCAAGACCATCTATGGCTGTTAAAACAAAATAAATCCAACAATCGTATCAGGCAGCGCAAAGCATAACACTGAACCTACACAACCATCGTCGTTCATACTGAACGCTAGATTTTACGATTTAGCAGTTTTACATCCATTTAAAACCATCCCACAGATTGTGTGGGTACGTGCGGAAAGGTATATAAGGTTTTATATGTCTGAAGTTAATAACTTTTGAAATATTTGCACTCTTTTTAAGAAAAATCGTAAATATTAAAGCGCTGTGGAATAGTTTCGAAAGTACATACTAAAACTGTAAATAACGTCAAAGTTTTTCTAGTATAGTATCATTTTTAAATCATTTAATATCTTTGACATGTAGCCATGTAACCTACATTGTGATCACCATTTTCAAATACAAAATGTTTTTATTTTTATTAAATAGAAGACCCTGTATATTAGTATCGTATTTTGTAGAAAATTTTACAGTCTTTTATTTCATATGAAGTTTTGTATACCTGGCGTGTTTCGTTTCGTAAATATTTAGAAAGGAACTCCCGATTTTACGTTTTTACAGATTTTTACTAATAAATTTATATATAACAAACTAGTGTACCAATTAAAATATAACAAACAAAAATTATAAAAATTATAACCTAATTTTATAAACCTAACCTAACCTTCAGATTCAACATTTTGTATACGAATGGAAAAGGCATTTTGTATACGAATTTTCATATTATCCCGTGGTGTGGGTTGTATACTATTTTCTTGATGTAACCCTAAAAAATAGTCTAGTGGAGTTAGTCCTAGAAATCTTGGGGTCCATTCCACAGTACCACCGTATCCACTCCAACTCTCGCTGTAGTTATTATTTAGCACTAGCCTAACATTTTTTGTATTATGTGTTAGTGTACTAGGTGCTCAGCCATGTTGAAACCACGTGTAGCATCTAATTCCCAGAGGAACATCCTCTAACAAGCCAGGTACATCGTCTGTTAAAAACCTACGATACTCATTGCCAGTGACCGTTCGGCTGAAGAAATAAGATCCAATAATGTATGATCCAACAATGCTTTCCCAAACATTGAAGAACCACCTGTTCTGAGACGTGATTAGAAATAAGAGAAGATTTTTTATCGGAGTAATAATGACAAATATGTCTATTAATCAACCCATTGCGATGAATTGTCGATTTGTTATAAAATAAAAGAAAATAAAATATTTTCCAAAAATTTATATTTCCACTAAACATTTCTTCAGCCCACGTAGCATTAGCATGCTGTTGATTATTCGAGCGGTGGATTTACAAGAGATTGTACGGAGGAGCTTGTATATCATGCCTTTTCTCTAGACTGCGCAGCTTCTTTTTGATCAACTGATCAACTGGTACTGATTCAAGTAACTTTGGACTAATTCTGTTGTAGATAAGTGGTTCTAGTAGCTTTAACGTTGCCGATAGTAGGACTATTGGTCTGTAGTTCTTAGGGTTGTTATCATTTGGTTTTCCGGGTTTTAATAGGCAATGATCTTCAAGCGTTTGAGTTCCTGTGGTATGGTACCGGTCTTCATAATATCTGTGAAAAAGTGGGCATCCATTATCTAGCATATTTGACGCTCTTAATTAAGAATTCGAGATGAATATTGTCAAATCCTGGGGCTTTACCTGGCTTCACATCCTTGAGAGCTATAGCGACTTCTTCGCAAGTGAAAAGGCGAGAGTACTCGGTTTCTACAGATTGGAATTTTAAAGTTTTGAGCTCTCGTTTTACCTTGATTGTATGTGGCTTGTTTTTCGGGGCCCTAGATGATATCAGATGTGAGGAAATGTTGTTTGGGTTAATTGTTATTTTTGGCTAATTTTCTTAATAGTGTCCTTGCTTTCCTACTTGATGTTCGAAAATTAAGAGTTTCTACAGTTTCCGTCCATTTTTGTTGTCTCGCTGCATTTAGGCTATGGAACAGTTCATCGGCTAATGCTTGATTGCCGCTTTCAAGGAAATTTTGATACAGTTTTTCGCTGTTATGGGACCAACCAGGAATGTATTCTTTTCGGTAGCATCTTAGTATATGATTTTTGGCTGTGCTTATTACGGCTCCAACGAATCTTTTGTAATTACTGATGGTAGTGGGTATCCAGCCTATCCAATCCTAATCCTAATATTGTCCGGTTTCGCAAAAAAGCTACCCCAAATGGCTTTCATCAGATTCCAGCGTGGGCGATAAATGGATGTGATTATAGGAATCTGGGTTCCTGCCTCTAAGATTACTGGGCGGTGTTGACTATGTGGGAAGTCGTCAATTACTTTTCGGGAGACTACTAGAGGTTGACTGTTTTTATTGGTAGAGACAAAACATAGATCAGGATTGTACTCCTTCTTCCATGCTGCTGACATGAATGTAGGTCGGTATTTAGCGTTAAAATTTACTGATGATGTTCGTTCTCCGTCCATTTTACTAGTGCATTCCCATTGCTGTTGCTTTGGTTATATTTC